ATTCAGAATTTTTAAAAACTCCATTAGAACTCATTATGCCTTGTGTCTGGATGTCCCCCCAAAGCCTCATGCAGTCATAGGTGGGTCTTTTTCAGAGGTGACTGGATCTAGAGTGTGTGATTCTGGGATTGGTTCATGGTGCAATGCTAGGCTTAAAGGCAATAGGATTAAGAGTATAAGTGCTACCTGCCCTAAGTAACCTTGATAAGACATAAGGGACAGAAAGAGGTTGGGCTTATTGCTTTGTTACCATCTGACCACCATGAACTGTTTCTCCTTTGCAATGACACCCTGCCATGGAGGCAGCCAATTATAATCTGAAACCTCTACACACTGTGAGCTAAATAAACCTTCTTCCTTTAACTTTGGATGTCAGGTAGATTTCTCTCAGCAACGAGAGAAAAGTAACTAAGACAGAACCCAAATTGTAGGCAACTAGCTTTTCAGAAATTATCTTATTTGCTAAAAGCCAATTATGTCACTATAGGTACTTAAAATATAATTCCTAAGGTTTCCACTGCCCCTGCTTCCCAGATGAGGGAGCCAATGCTAAGAAATCTCAGGTCATTACAAAACATGACCTAGACTGGATTCAAACTGAGAACCCTCTAAGTCTGAAGTCTACCTCTTCTAAAGACATTTTGGGAAGGGGTAGTCAAAAAAGATCAACATGTCGTATGAATATGTACCAATTCTTCACAATAAACGTATCTATCATATATAACAAAGATATGCTAATAATAACTTTTTTAAAAACACAATTGCAGACCCAGAGGATTCTATACAGTATAGCCCTGACGTTACTTCAGTGTGCTAGGAGGGCTGAAGAAATAGCAAGAAAGATCACTGCAGGTCACCTGAGCTCATGTGATCTGATGTGTCAGACCCACAAGCAAAGAGGTTTGGGGAAACCCCAGAGCACAAAAACTCTATTCTCAAGCTATCCAGGGAGCTAAAGTGAAACATGAGAAAAGTAGCAAGCAACTTGAATTTGTCTTTCATTTATCATCATCATTACTTTGGGGGAGAGCAGTTTAAAACTCCCATTTCTTCATTATAAGAGAGAGTCACTTTCCTGAGTAGTAGAAATCCACTGATCTCCTGAGACCTGGGCTCTCAGTGTGCGAGCAGCGAGACCCCCTCATTACCTATGCTGTCAGTTCTCCCCAGGGATTTACAAAGCTGAAGTCCACTGCCTGCCATCTCCAAGATGATCAGAAGAAGGGAGACAATAAGGAAGTAAGTAACAGCTTTTTTAAAAGACTGTCCATAAATTTCCAGAAATTTTCAGGCCAGTTAACACTCAAGATCTGAAAAGGAGGTTTACCTCTTGTTTCCTACTATCCTGGCCTATTATAGTACTAGTGAAAACACGTAAACAAAGCTTTTGCATTGGTTCAGTTACATGATTGCAGACATGTTTCTTAACTGCCTGGAGTTTTCACATTTCTAAATGAAAATAACAAAAGCAATGTACATTCAAGTGCCTACTTCCATGGGTTGGTTTGTAACAAGCACTCAAGACAAAAATAAAACAAGTATGCCTTCTCTTCTCTTTTCATTTCCCTGTTCCCTCTTCCTTTTCCTCAAAAAATAAAATCTAGGTACATGGTAGAAAACAAGAGATGTCATCCTTCAGCTGAGAGCTCTTTTGCTCAATTTGGACAGAAGTCTCAAAATTGGCTAAGTGCTGTCCCCTTGAAGTTAGTGGCTCCAGGCTTCCAGTGCTGATGGCTCTCAGCCCATCGCACCACAGCACTGAGCCTTGAGTGCCAACGCATCACAGCCCTTAGTGCTATGACTTTTAGTATTAGTTCTTAGCATTACAGCCCCTGACGGCTTCCCGACACTCTCACCAGGACCACTGCAGTTGAGGCTGTGGGCCTCTCTGCGGTTTTCTGGAGCCCTACCAGCAACTTTTGCAGCCTCCTTGGGATGCTCCACCTCCGGCTCCAATTCTGGGGCACACTGTGGGCACTGACCTCTCTGGGGCCAAAGACTTCAGACCTCAGACTTTTACCTCATCCTTTGCAGTTGGCCTCAGGCCTCAGGCCTCTGGTCTCTGCCTCGGGTTTCTCCTTCCCTGGGAGTCTCGAGGATAGGCCTTGCAGCTTTGTCTCCGCCTTCCAGGGTTCTGGGATTACAGGCATGAACCATCATGCCCAGTTTCGCAAGGCTTCAGGGCTAACAACCCTTAGTGCTATCAAGCCCTTTTAATGCAGCTTACTTAGCCCAGAGTACTCCAGATAAAAATCAAAAACTCACAAGTAGAGGATAAAGGCACCAAGAAAGGTCTTTTCTAGGACCCATGCTGCTGCCAAGACAGGTAGAACACTGAGAGAGCCCTTATCGACTGACCCAAGGAGCACGAGGTGGTTACTGTATAAAAAGAAGCCACTGCGCATGCGCAAACCTTAAAGGGGCGGGTCATTTGGCGGTTGTAGGGTGGAGCCTTCTGGGATAAATTGTCCACGCAAGTGCAATGGGAGGAGGAGCCATCTAGGAGAGCTTTTTTTCACGAGCCTATTGCCACCAGGGCCTTTATTTTTGTAGCTGTTACAGGAGTCTAAGGCAGTCTCCTCAAAGCGAAAGCTAGGCACAGTTCCCGTGGTTACACAAAAATGTATGCTTTCCCCCCAGTGCTGTATATGACATATTCGTACTATTCATTGAAACCACACTAACTAGAATTTTTTTTAAATGACTCTCTTGTTGATACATTATGTGCATATCTAAGAAAGCCCCATAGTCCTGGAAACCTAGTTGATATAGCAAATGCAGTTCTTAATGACCCACAGTTCTGAAAACGTTCTGAGATTGGACTCTGTACTTTAGCACACTGCAGAAAACAGCGTCCTCAACCCCTCCCCATTGGTGGGAAAGAATAACCATACCTTGTTTTGTCCTAGAAGGAAAGGACTTTCCATGTTCGGTTTGGCTGAAGCAGAATTACATGGCTACACTAAACATGAGAATTCAAACCTTACGTCCTACTGAGAATTTGCAGAAATTTATGTTCCCATGGCTTTCAAAAGAGGGAAAACCAATTAAAGCACAATTTATTATCACATTCTAAATATGGGCCAAATTGAGCGTCTTGAAACCTATTAGCCTATTAACTACATGCACTAAAAATTTACTATTAAGTAGTCTTCTGGAAAGTTAGTCAATAGTGGAAGTTTAGCAGACAAGAGTGATCAACCAGGGTCGTATTTAGTCCTATATGAGGAAAAGAATCTGTGTATTCTGACCTGTAAGAGGGAAAGCAAATTAATAAGTATTTGTAGGAGATTTTTGTTATAAAAAAAGTAAACAAGAAAAAAGATAACATAGAAGAAAACAAAAGGAAAACGAGAACAGGAAGAAGGGACATAAACTGAGTTCCTAATATTGTCAAGCATTGTCCTTATATGTGTGATCTCATTTGTATTATTATACCATCTTACATCAAACTGAGTCCATAGAATGAAAGTCATTTCCCAAAGTCATATAAAATCCCACAATATTTTAATTTTCCATTTGATGGTTCAAGAGCAGAGCTTATTAAAGATAGTTTTGTTTTGGTTTTGGTTTCATTTTATAGAACTTGCAGTGTCCCTAGTTTGTTCGTACAATGGAGCTGATTCTTAGACATATCAAGTACCTGACCCCACCCATGACAACTGTTCCTTTGAAATCAATAAAACATGGGAGAATCTTCTCTAGGACTCATTAATGCAAAGGAAAAGAGTATTCGTAGGTGGCCCAGAAAAAAAACCCTGAGCTATCTGGCCACAGGGGTTGAACTTCAGAAGTAACTGAGCCACTGATTTACTACAGGAGCAGATAAACTAAAAGGAGTCCAAAATTTAGCTTCTAATTGGGTTTATTCATATAATAAGTATGAACAGAAAACCTGCTATGTTGGGTTTAAACGCTGATGTACAAGACAGATACTCTCCTCTTGGGAAGTTACCACCTAGAGGAGGCAAGTGACAAAGGGACTACAATGAGTATAACTACTACAAAGAAAACAAAATGAGATAATGATCCAGGAAATACTGTTGGAGATGGAGGAGCGTAGGAACTACTTGAGACAGATAAAGACACCTCTCTGGGCAGAAAGAATAGCAAATACAAAAAGAATTCCCTTGACACACAAACAATTAAGAAAGTGGTTGCCTTGGTATTACAAATAAGAGGGAAGATGTTCCAACTGTGAAGTTGAGGTCCTGCTGATCTCTCCAAACAGGCTACTCAAGCACTAAATGTATTTCCCCTGAACACACAATAAAAGTATGGTTCTCAGCATCCTTGCAGGCAAGAAATTTCACTATAGGGTAGTTGTGATGCTCACTACATGGAGTAATGGAAAAACAGAAGGACAGCACAAAAGATATAGTCATGGACGCTCCTTGGGCATGGAAGTCTTCCCAGAGAAAAAGACCATGGACCTTGTACAATGAATAGAAGTTTCCTAGTGAAGGACAGAACGGGCAATTCAGATAGAGAAAACACACATACGATAAGTCACAAATGAGAACCCCAATGTAAAAATAAAGACTAAAACAAAAGATATGTAATATAAAGTGGGGAGACGGATCTTTTCTCAAATAGGAAGGGAATCAAGAGATAGAGGGAGGGGGAGGGAAGGGAGGCAAAAGGGATAAAAAAGGAATTAAGACATGTTATGTAGATGTACCAACTCCACATGGAATACAGGCATTATGCACTGCAGACAAGCACCAACTTTAAAAACTTGTATTCTTTAAGCATCAGGGAGCTAATGAAGAACTATACCGTGTGTACAGTTAATGTTCAACTCCACGATAATACAGTGAGCTCCTAGGAAGCCAGGGATGACTTCAGTTTCTTTGGTATGCCTCAAATCTTGTGCACATGGTAAAAAGGAAAAAGGGACAGAAGCAGGGAGAGATGGAGGTAGGAAAGGTGAATGATAAAGCACACATGGCGGCAGGCCATCCATCCTCCCATCCCCAGTTACCCAAGCCTGGACTCACTGGTGAGAGAGATGTGCAGAGTTCACTTGAGTTTTATTTACCCCGTGTCTCTGTTCATTTCACACCATCTGACAGCTGTTTTAGGCCATTTGACTCGCTGTTGGAAGCATGATCAGGGCTGAAATGCAGACCGTAAATAGTGCACATTAACACATAAAGCTGGATTCAGTACATAGTACATTTCATTAATGTTACAGCATTTACTGTACACTTTAAGTTGTCACTGATTTTTATTAAAAGGGGCACTTTTATCACAAGTACATGATGCCAGCAAAAAAAAAAAAAAAAAAAAGTTTCTCATCCCCACCCACCAAAGCGAATTTGGTTTAGTTTTCTGTAAGTGATCATGAAAAACCTAGCTAGATTTGGTTGACTCAGATTATGTTTCCCCAGTGATATCTCTCACTCACACACCTCTGCCTGAAGGACTAGAAAGGGAAACGGATCACCTCCTCACCTGGGCCAGAGTGGATGCCAAGGAAACAGAGAGCATTTCTGATTTACTTCATTTTTGACCATAAAACTAATAAATATATGACTCCAGCTGCAAGTCAGATGACATGTTAAGAACATGTAAGGCAGTCTTTTGGACTGAAATTTTTATTTCTTCTCTATCTTACATCTATGTGAAGGACCCAAATCTTGGATTTCACTGTGGAATTTACTGCTGCTACAGACAGTCTCTAAAAGGACCATTTGGTATATCAAATATTCTCCCCTCCACTCTTTCCCATCTTTTTGTGGATCCCTGAAACCACAAAGTCTTTCCTTGGAACTCACAGAGGAAAAAAACCAAAAGGATTCTAACAGTGGCCAGCACGGTTGCCACTAATCATGAGTAGCTATTTAAATATAATTGCAAAAAAAGTTTTTAATTAAAAATTCAGTCCCACTGTTCCCACATTTTAAATATGCAATAGCCACAGATGTCCACAGTCTACCACATTTTGGACAATGCAAATGCAAAGCATTGTCATTTTTGTAGAAAATTTTATCTGCTCCACATCCTCAGGGCCTTCAAGACCATAGAAATGAGTTCTTATCTTATTTGCACAACATTCCTTGTATCCTCTCATTTCTCTCCTTCCCATTTTGAAAGTTCATGCTCTTGCTTTTGAGAACCTTTGGCCTATTTCTCTGATTCTAATCACACTTTCAACCCCGTGCTTCCCTGCACTTAGAGATATTTCCCTGTCAAGCAAGACATTAACTCACCATCCATCCATTCATTGATTCACTCCAGATGTTTTGAATATCAAGTCAGTGTTCCACATGCTTGAGAGGTGCTAGGGACACAAAAGCAGTGAAAACTCCATTCTTTATCCTCACGGGCATCATAATCAAACAGAAAGAGCTAATTATAACAGTTGTGGAACAAGAACTCACAAATCAAATCATATTATTTCCTGCTTAAATACCTTCAATAGGACACTATTTTCCAATGGAAATGTTAAAAATACTGCTATTCAATCTATATACCCACTTTTAGGGAGGAATCTTTCATACACTTCATATACAAGAAGTACAAAAACATCTCTTGATAAATTTCACTTTCCCTTCAGACCGGTTACCATTCTTTTAAAACTCCTACTAGTTAATACTTTTGAGAAATGTTATTTGCCAGCTGGATCTCAAAGGACATAACTTGGAAGGGAGTGGTGAAAGGTTTTTCCCAGCAAGGCTGATCCTTGGGCCACTCCCAAGAGTAGTGGGTCAAAAGGTCATTTAGGGCTGTGAAGCTCTAGCTGCATGCCAGATGCAGATGACCCGGATGCAAGACCAGGGTCTGTTGAATCCAGCCTTACTCAGCAATCTAGAATATTTTCACTCAAGGAACATCAGCTACTGCCTATCTCTATCAGTGCACAGAATCAAATTCTTCAACTGGACACTTCCTCTACCAAGTACATAGCTCTTCTCTGAAATTTAAACTTTGGGTTTCTCTGAGGCATCACAACATGGATTAACTACATCATGTTGTGACAAGAACATAGTAAAACCTTTATATCCGTGATCTGTCCCTACCATTTTCCCTGCATACTACCGGTAAGATAAATTTAAAAAGTTCCCAATTAACCACAGTCAAACGTTGAAGCCTTTCCCTGGGAAACAAACTGTCCCACAGTAGCTGTGAGAACTGAAAGCCCTTCTGTGGAAACTGGTCAGAGAGTTCATAGGCTCAAATAACCAAAAGTTTAGGGGCATCCCAAGTAACTGAATAGCTAGCCACTCCGTATGTCTGAGGTGAGGGTTCCCTCCTTGTCACTCTCAGTCCCCCAGGGTACACTATCCACCAGGCTCCTTTGCTGCCATGGACTCGGTAGACCACCTATTGTCCCCACCAGAGCTGGTCACAACCTTGTTCCAAAAGAATCCAAATGCAACAGGTACAGGAGGGAGCTTGTATGAACTAACACGAGTTAAAGCCCAAACTCCTTACGTTGTATCCAAAGACAGCCCTCAGTGACAGGGCCCCCGTGCCCAGTCGCACTCTGCCCAGTGCCGCTGCTCTGTCCCCTCACCTCTCCGACCTCAAGGATGACTTGCTTTTCCAGCACTGAACTTGTGCACATTTAACTGTTCTTATAATATTTTCCTTCTTTTTCTTCTCCTGGAGAAACACTCCCTTTAAGACCAAGTCCAAATGGCATTTTTCTGGGAAGTTCAGCTTACTCCTCTAAGTCAGAATGAATTGTCCTGCGCCTTCCTAACAGTTTTAATAAAACTTAGGTTTGTTTTTCGTCTTTCTGTCATAGTACATATTAACTATAGAGAATAGTGCATTTTGTTTTGGCATATTTATACAGGGATACAGCACATTTGACTGTTCCTGCCCCCATTTCTTTCCTAGCTCTTCCCTACGCCCTCCACTTATCTCCTTCCTTTCTCTAATATCTTCCTTCTTCTTTATGGTCATCTCCCTCCACCCTCCACATATGAGAGAAAACAAGTCAAAACTGAATTTCTGAATCTGTCTTATTTCATTTAATGTGATCTTTGCTTCCATCCCTTTTAGAGTTGCTTCTTAATCATCATTGGATTGCGGATCCCTTAAAACTTCAGTAAAGGAAGTAGACCTTCTACAGGAAAAAGCTCATAATTGCACATAATTTTAAAGCAATCAAGAATTTCCTGAGTTTGTCTGCAGACCAATTACAAATTCCTCTTGCTACTTTTTTCCTATCACTTGTTATCATTAACGTGTACATCAAGAACATTCTGGATAAACGGATTGCCCTCAGCACAAATATACTTCACATGCTACCATGCTGAAAGGAAGTGAGGGGTTGTTGGATAACTTTGACCTTGATGAGAAAGAAGTTTCTCCTGAGCCAAGAGCCCCAAGAGCATTTCACCTCTAACATCAAACACTCTTCCCTCCGTATCTCTTTCCCTTGCTCCTACAAGATAGTTCCCTGCCTCCCAGACCACTTCAACATTAACCGTGTCAGGTTAACAGAATCACTATTTATCCCACATCATTTACTTACATGTCTGAAAAGTTTTGAAAGTTTAGGGGCCATATAGAAGTGCAACGGCTGGAGATATAGCTCAGTGACACAGTAACTGTCTGGCAAGCACAAAATCCTAAGTTCAATTTTTGGTACCCAAAAATACCCTAAAATTTAGGGCCAGGGATATAGCTCAGCAACCCAGCACTTGCCGACAGATGCAAGGTCATGAGTTCAATTCCCGGTACCAAAACATAAAAATAAAATAAAAGTACAGTGGCATCTGTGGTGGAGACTGGAATAAATTTCATGACGGCTGCATTACTGTATTCCTTCTGAGCTCAGGTGGTCAACCATCTAATCTGGGTTCAGTAGACCAAACTCCAAGCACGCTCTGTGCCTCTCTCTTCCCATCCAGGAATATGTCTTCCTCATTGACAAGCAAATCTCACCCTCTTCTGGCTCCAGGCCAGAGAAACCAATTTATACTTTATGAATGTTTTAGAGTCCCTTAACTGTTGTGCTTTAAAAAGGGAAGGGTGTGTAGAAGCTGAGAAACTCCATCCGTGTCCCATCTGGACCACCTTTCCACCAGGGCTTGGCTCCTCTCCACATACCCAGATGAGCACAGAACTCACACTCAGAGGGAATACGGGATGGGCTCTTCTGTTTCAAATGCTTTGCTGGTTGCATTTATTGGCCCATTAATTATCTGTCTGTATCTTTTAACAGTCTCAGTCATGAGGAAAAAAAAAACTGTAGACAATGATTCCAATGTGACTTTTCAGGGTAATGGAAATTACAAAGTTGTCCAGCTCTAGGGAGCATCAGGCAGTGTAACAAGGTCCTAATGTAAAGCACAGAGCAATTAGCAGAGAGATTTACCTTCCTGTCTTAAAAGCATTTTTATTACTTAATCAATCACAAGCAATTTCTAAACAAGGCTGAGATTTTACAAGGAACCATAAATCTCTCCCATTTGCTTCCAGGCGAAAGAGCAGGAAAAATAGACATGACATTCCAGAAGGGACATTTTATCAGTTGAAACAAAAACTGAACCCACAGCACTACAGAAACAAAAAGTGGGCAGGAGGTAGCCATACAGTCCCAGAGGATCCGAGGAGGACAGAAGGCATTAGTTGGGGGCAGGTGTTTGGTCCTGATAACAGGTTCAAAGTCAACACCATTCTCTTCCCACGAGTATGCAGGAAGGAGAAGCATGGAACACAGTGTAAAAGAAGGCCCCTAGAGATAGCCAGGCAGAGTTTCTGTCTTCAGAGGACCTTCAGAGGGCCTTCAGGCTGTAGCCTTTCTCTGGGCCTCAGTTTCCTTGTCTGTAAACAGAGGGATTTGGACTGGATTACATGCCAGTGATTCTGAGCCATAATAGCATATTAGCATTACCAAGGGAGAGTTTTAAAAATACCACTGTTAGGATCCTTCCCAAACCAATTAAATCAGATGATCTGGGGCCAAGATGAAAGCTCTTTAATCTCATCTAGCTCCAGCTTGAACATCCAAGCAAAGAATCTTATTTTGAAAATGAAATGTTTAAAGTCCTCGCAGCAGTGAACTTAACAATAAATGATAGACACATGCAGCATACATTCACACACTCATTTGGGTTTTTTTTTTTATTCCTTTATTCCATGAGCTTCCTTAGACTCTCCTATGTACAGCTCCTGGACTGAGACCATGGACATGCAACCTCATGATGCCTCTGTGAGAAGTGTCCCATTAGTTCTCATTTAGACCAGAAAAGTGGTTAGGCCAGGGATTTAGCTCAGTGGCACAGCACTTGCGTGGCAAGTGTGAGGTCACAAGTTTGATCCCCAGTACTGAAACACAACAAAACAAAAAAACTAGACCAGAGAAGTGATTCTTGGAGGACTTGGTTAACAGATGTAGAATTGAGAATCCCTGCCCATATACTGTCAGAATCTATCTGGGTATATTTTTTGGCTCCCAAAACCTCTCTAAAGAGCAGTGCAGAATAGTAATTGTCCTCTTCCAATTACTGGGCACAGCTGGGCAGAGAAACACAGCTGGACACAGCTGGGCGGAAAGACAGATAGGGCCTAGACGTGGTGTCCAACAAGGTCTACTATCAGCACACACAGTAGAGATCAATTAACCACAAAAGCAAGAGGAAAAACCCAAAAGATGTGATGGCGGATATGACTCAAACATTTGTTTTGGACCCATGCAGACCCATTCCTAAAGCTACCACTTAAGACAGACACAGCTGAATTCCTCCACGGAGGTGTCCTGAAGTGAAATATTCTCGGTCTGCCCGCTGCCTCATAACTCAAAAATCAACTTCTCTTCTCCAGTTAGGTAAAGACTGCCATTTGTCTTCTAAATTTTGACTTGACATATTCTGGATTGATGTCCATTTCCCCCTAATGTTATGCCAAGACTCAGGATTGAGAGGAAAAACTATTTTCTTCTCTTGGTCATAGGGAATTAAAATCAAGTTCAGATGTTTCCATCTACATAAGGGTTCGTTTTCTTTTTCTTAACTCTCCAGCATGTATGGACCTTTCCTGTAATGCATATCACATGTTGACTTTAACTGCAGCATGGCACCTTCTCTCAGGACTACTGTCCTCTCTCCCGCAGTAGAAAGAGCAATTTTTACAATGAACATGGATCAAAAACCCCGCTCCACTTCTTACTTGACTGTACTGCTCTGAGAAAATTAATTGATCTTTCTGAGTTCCAGTTTCCAACTATATAAGATAACATGAACTACTCCACAGTGTGTAAGAATGAAACAAAATAGCACACAAGTCTCTAAGTTTACCAGGGTCCAGCCTAAAGTCAAGTGCTCA